TATCTCATACTTCTAGCCTCCAGACAATAAATGTCTGTTGTTTAAGCTACCTAGTCTACGTACTTTGTTAGGGCAGCCCTAGCAACAAATACAGTCGGTAAAGGTATAAATAAGTACAACCTTTCGACGCAGCAATTCCATGTCTATGAATTTAGCCTGCAGATACATGCGCACCAGTACCAGACATTGTTCCAAGCACTGAATATACATCAGTGAACAAGACAAAGGCAGTCCATGTCCTCATGGGTCTTCTCTACTAGTGAGAAGAAATAGGCAATACACTAACGCAAGGAAATGTTAACAGATAATTTCAGATAGTGATTGTTGCTCTAAAGGAAAAAAAACAAGTTGATGTGATAGACAATGACTACTTTAGACAAGGTAGCTGGAGAGGATTGTTTGAGGAATGGCATTTCAGCTGAGATCTAAAAATCAGCAATCTTTAAACTGAAATTAAAGTCATGCAAAGAGCTAGAGGAAAAGGGAATTCAGGAAGAGAGAAGAGCAAGAACAAAGGCCCTGAGATAAATGTTTAGTGTGTTCCAGGAGTGGAATAAAACCAGAGGAGCATAGTGGGAAAGGGGAAGAATAGTATGAGATGAAGCAGGAAAGGTAGGCAGTGGCCAGATCATATAGGGCCTTATAAGCCTGGGTAGGGTTTGGATTTTATTATAAATGCAATGGAAGTCACTGGGGTTTAACCAGGGAGCAATGCAATCTGTTTTTGTTTTTGTTTTTTTTAATAGCAAAGAACTGGAAACAATCTCAGGGCCCATCAATAGGAGACTGGTTGTGTATTTATACTTTATATATGTATGGTTTGCATGTATCTACAGAACATCTCAAGTACAGGTGCCATGCAATTCAATATAGATAGAAGCTGTAACAACTTCCACTCCTAAGAAGGGGCTCTCTTTTGAAAGCTGTTGGCTACAACAAAGGTAAGTAAAAAGCAGAGCCTCTCCCTCTCAGTCAGTCCCGTCCCCCTTCTCACTGGAGAAAAATACTGGTCTTTGTCCACAACAGGAGAAAGAACTTGGGGCCCTCATTCTCTTGTCATCCTTTTGTTGTTCACATACCCACTCTCCCACCATGCAATTTCTCCTCACCCATCCCTCACCTTTAGTTCAAATACAGGTGTATCAATTACTTCTGCACCATGGCGCTTGAAGCAGCTGATGATTACATCAAACACCTTCTCCCGAACTGCCATCTGCCGGGGACTGTAGTCTCTTGTGCCCTTGGAGCCAAAGAAATCAGCCAAAGAAGCAGGGATAGGATTTAAAAATAACAATAAGGTCTAGAAATATAAAAGCATGACCTCAGTGATGACTAATGCAAATCTTGCCCCAAACAGATTTTCCTACAGGCTACTGAGTTGTAAAACAAGTATAACAATTCCCTATTACTCACCACACCCATTTGCTATCACCGTTCTAGGTTCCATTTCCTTTTCAACTTGGTTCTATTTTGTAGAATTCTTAAAACTCTATTCTCTGAGATGTTTTTCTAAAAATTCTTCTTCTTGGGTAACATTTTCCTGCCTAATAGGAAACACCTACCCGATGACAGGCACATAACCAACTCAAACTGGCTTAACTAGCTGAACTCCAAATTTTACATTCTCTTCCAACATAACTTCGAAAAACAATCCTAATGAATACTAATTCTTCTCTAATTTGTTTCTGATAGCCCTATGACATTGAGCTGGGCAGATACATTTTATAGATCAATTACTGGATGTTGAGAAGTTAAATCATTATTTAAGGCCACTCAGCAGGCTTGTGGAGGTCAGTGACAAGGCTCACTTCATTCATTTCTGTGAAAATGTCTGCCAAATACTCCAATCTTTAAATCAAGTTTATCTTTCAAACAAAAAAGGTGTTCTATGAAAAGATCAGCTTACAAGTCACACAATGGCACAAGCATTTTTCCTATTTTGAAATGTAGTGGAAGTGCTTTATGTGTACTTCCCATTTCATCACACAGAATATTAATAAAAGTACACTCAAGGATCGAGAGTCACAAAATTAATAAGTTTTACTGTCTTATCAAGGATTTTAAATGCAACTGATTATTTTTTACCGTGAGTGCATGAAAGTAAAGAACATAATGGCGATTAGTACAGTTTAATGCCACTGTCTTGGTTTGTGCTAAGCCACCAGCAGTTCTACTCATCAGTGTTTTTGCACCTTCAGTGCAAATGGGAGTAAAAAAGACAAATAACATTTTGAAAATAATTTTGACCATGAAGAGCCCTTGAAAGAGTACTGCTCCTATGGTACTGAGTTTTCTGTTATTAACATCTATTTCTATTATTAATCACACATTAAGAAAAAATGTGTTTCAATCAACTAAAGTGGATAATAACTCTCCAGTATAATCTCATTTTCTTTTAACATTACATTATGGAAATTTTCAAACATACATTATAGAGAATAGTACAAAAGACCACCATGTATCTATTACTCAGCTTCAACTACCAGCAACATATGCTATTCTTACTTGATTCAAGCCCCAACATTTTTTTTCTGTAGTATTTTAAAGCAAATCCCAAATATCAGTCTTATCATTTCATCCATAAATATTTCAGAATGATTTTCTAACACGTAAGGATTAAACACACACACACACACACACACACACACACACACACACACACACACACACCTTTATTACAACCAACAAAACTAACACCAACCCTTTGATATTATCTAATGCCCAAGCCATGTTTAATTTTCCTTGATGCCTCAATTTTTATGGTTGGTTTGTTTGAATCATATTCTAAATGAAGTCCATGCATTGTATTTGGTTGATATGTTTCATGTCTATTTAATCTTCAACAGTTTCCTTTCCTTTTTGAAAAAGTGTCATTTATTTGTTGAGGAAATTGAGTCATTTGTCCTAAAGAATTTTTCACATGTTAGATTTGGTTAACAATCCTCTATCTCCCGTATTTCCAGTAAACTGGTAGAAGACCTGATTAGATTCTGATTCAATTTTTTTTGGCAAGAATAATTCGTAGGTGGTGCTGTGTACTTCTTATTACATCTCATCCGGAGGAACATAATGTGTGGTCATCCTACTTTTAATATGTTAAGGTTGATCATTGGGTTTAGGTGAGGCCAGTCTAATCTATCAAAAATTCCCCTTTAATCTTTTCACCTAATAATTTGAATAACTACTGATGATCATTGCCTTGGGATCTTACACTGTCTCCTTAACCTTTGAAATGAGTTGTGTGTAGAAAGGAATAGCTCAATGAATTTAGGATGCCCAAGAAGTAGCCTTAAAAGGGGAAATCTCAATACAAGGAAGATAGATCATCTTCGCTCTTCTTTAGAGTCCAATTTCACATACATTTGCTGAATACCTATGTAGCTCCAGGCACTCTGGCTTCAGCCTCTCAGCATAAATAAACCATGTGAATAACTAAAAGTCAGCAATAAATACAATAGAAATATATATGAAGTGGCAAAGGAACCCAGGTGAAGGGGTAAACAGTCCCATTTATAGAACTTACAGGAAGCGGCAGCTGAACTGAAATTTTAGGGGCTGAGCTAGGAATCTCCAACTGCATTCCACCCGGCTCTCCTCTATTTGGGTCTAGTCATACAGGTCTTTTTCTAGTTCCTATAAACTACCAAGGCTCTTTCTTGCTTCAGGGTTTCCATACTCTACCTGGACTTATCTTCCTCACACTCTTCCCCTGGCTATCTTCCACTCATCTGTTAGGTTGGTTGGTATATCACTTCTTCAGTGAGACTTTCTCAGACTTCCCAGTTCTTATTTTTCTCAGATCATCCTTGTTATTTCTTTATATCACTTATCACAATTTGTAATTACATATCCATGTGCAGGATTATTTGTATGAAGTCTGTTTCCTTCAATAGAATGTAAGCTCCATGAGGGCAGGGCATATTGTTCGTCATGCTATATTCACTGGTTTGTACAGTGCTAGGCACATAGTAAGTAAGCACTCAATAAGTAATTACTGAATAAAAGGGGTAGCAGTAACAGACATACTCCCCTACACATCCAGGTGGCCTAGTTTGTGCCATCACTTTGCCATCCCAGAATGACTCAGGTCGAGTTTAATCCAGCCCGGTGCCCAGAGCAACTGTTGTTTCCTTTGCAGCATTTCAGATCCTCCTCAATGACCTGGCTCAGAGAGGCAGGCATATACATCCTTGTGAGTGGAATTAGGGGCTCTCTCAGAGGCTCCCTAAAGGAATGATATTTACCTTGGGTGTTTTGAGCACAAACTTCTGTTTCCCTTCATCAGGGCCCAGCTGTGCCTTCAGTTTCAGTAGTTTTGCCACCTCTTCCTCGATCTGTAGAGGAAAGTAGTCGCTGGGTTATCACATCTGCTACTCCCCTCCCTCCTCCGCCATTCATTCAGTATCCCTCCTTCATCAGGACCTGGAGCAGATCTAGCTTTGCTTCTCTCGGCTCCTACCCAGGCCACCTTATCACCCAGCCCGTCCGTTCTCCTCCTTACCAGTCGGGTCCGTTCTTCCCTACATCCCTGTCCTCTGTGCAGACCACCCCAGCTCTACCTCCTCCCCGCCCAGGTTTGCCCCCTCCCCAGCCGCCTGGGTCACCTGCTCGGCGTTGGCCTTCTGCTGTTTGAGTCCCCGTACACGCTCTCCCTGAAGTCGCACTAGCTCCTCCAGCGCCGCACGCTCTGCCATTCTGACTGCTTACTGAAGAGACCAGACGTCTAGATCCGTGGTGGTGGCCACAGCCTCAGCTCGGATGACTTCCGGCAGTCGAGTCGCTGGCGCGTGAGTCTAGAGAGCCTCTGCCGAGTAGAACAACTTCCGGCTCCTACCGGAAGTGCCCAAGATGAGAGGGAGTCTGAAAGGACCCGAACCGCTTTGCGCGATCTGGAAGGTGCAGAAGCGGTCGCCTCTTACCTGGTGTTCGGGCTTTGCCTCTACAGCGCTCTGCACCCTTTCTGAGGTCCAGCCTGCCTCGTTCCTAGGTGTTTTGCCTTTTGTCCCGGAAAGCCGGCCTCCTGCCGCAAGATGCCCCAGCTCGGACTCCTGCACAGGAGGGCCTGGGCTGCGTTTCTTGGCCAGCTCCGGCGGCCGCCCCGTCCAGTCTGCATCCGGACGGTTCATTCTCATAGCCAGGTGAGCCGGCCTGAGATAGCTCTGGTTTGTCGAGGCAGAATCTCCAGGTCTGAAAGCATGGACTCGCGGCCTGTACTCCAGTAGTATTTTTTATTTATTTATTTATTTATTTATTTATTATTTATTTATTTATTTATTTATTTATTTATTTATTTATTTATTTATTAAATTGAGCCATCCTGCCACCTGTTGGCAGCTCAGCGGCTGCTCAGCTCGGGCCGGGTAGCGAACCACTGTTGCTCAGAGCTCGCACTCTTGAGCGAGCTCTTAACCAACTGAGCCACTCGGCCGGCCCTCCAATAGTATTTATTACAATCGGTTTTTACTGGGGGCCCACCATGTCTGAGCTAAACGTTTTAGATGCTTTGTCATTTAATCTTCATAGCAATCTTTAGAGGTTGGGGTTATAATTATAATACAGTTGAGGAAAAGGAGGCTGCAAGGTTAAATGATTTACCTATGGATACATACATAGTAAGGGAGAATTTTAATATAGGCCCAAATCCCTTATTTGAACCTGTTGGGGTCAGACACATGAAAATTTAAGCAAAGTACATAAATATTCCCACTGAGATGATTAACGAACATAAGTAGACTGAGTTCACGTTAAAATCTATCTGAAGACAAGTCTCAAAAGAAAAAAACAAAACACTATTTTCGTTTTTCAGAGATTTTTGGATTTAGGAATGGCAGGGGAGGGTTTGTGGACTTGAACTGTCATCCTTCGGAGGAGAGACTCCACCAAAGTATGGAACTACCACTTTCTTTCTATTTCTGGAAGGGTATTCAGCTTGCTGGTAATAAACAGCATCCCTGATTCTGTTTTCCCTTGGGAAAGACCCTATTGTCTTACCAGCACATGTTTTGTGCTACCATGAACAAGAGGGCTCAGATCTTTCTTATTAATTTTCAGTCACAGCATCCTTTCAGTGTTAGTTTATTTGTTTTAGTTCAGTCCGCAAATCCATTCCTGTTCATTCCACAGGCATGTTTTTCGGTCTTGGGCTAGTCCTCTTCTGTTGTCAAGTTAGTTTTTCTCAGTCTCCAAGCCTAATGACTGTTGCTACCTTATTAAAAATTCTTGTTTTTGCTTTTTGAGTAGGAACTGAGAACTGGAAAAGATCATACTAATCCCTACCACTAGATGATTGGTGGTGGTAGCAGTGGGTTGTTTGCCTTCATTATTCTCAGGTGCTTAAACTTTTTCAGACAAGCTTGTATGGTACAGACCTGACGTTATGTGTAATTGTGTGTGTGTGTGTGTGTGTGTGTGTGTGTGTGTGTGTTTGTGTATTAAATACAACATGGGTTTTTGGAGGGGGGCTGAGATTGGGATAGATAAAATAGTGTTCAAGCTTCCTGTTGCACAGGGCCAGAGCTCTGTGTAGGTTGGTGGTCCACAGGGCCAGAGATGTCACAGGTCTGACAGGTCGTGAGAGGAGATACATCTCATGTTCCTTTTTCTGCCAGGTTGCAGAGGCAGTGTTAACATCCCAACTGAAACCACGTCAGGAGAAATCGAATTTTATTATCAAGACCCCGAAGGTAATTCTCTTTGCCCCATGCTGTCCCATTAGAGCAGTGATTCTCAACCTGTGGGTCGCGACCCCTTTGGGGGTCGAACGACCCTTTCACAGGGGTCGCCTAAGACCAT